CTTGATTTTTGTTTTGATGTTTGTTTCCTTTTAGATCATAGTGCTTAGGAAAGCTTTTCAAAGGAGACATTTCTTCAATGACTACAATGACAGTTCATGCAGATAGACCCTCCTTTTATCTCCCATGATGTCATTTTCACAAATACATAAATAAAGTTTGGATCAACACAAAATATTTCTGCCTTATTAATGAGATTTCTGAATTCATTCTAATTGTATAATAAATAGAAGCACAAACATCAACTGTTTATTCAAAAGCTAACTTGATTAACATAGAAGGCGCTTCAGAAAAAAGAATAACTCATGTCATTTTTGACCATTTTGTTTGTTTCAAGAAAAATAAATTATATTTAGTGTATTATTGACTAATAAGGAACAGGAAATGTTTTTTTTTTATTATATATTTATTTAGAAGTTTTGATAATATAATATAAAAGAAATAATCTATCTAATAAAATATAAGATAATATAATGCTATAATCAAGCATTATAGAATTTTGACACTATGCAACAGAAATAAATAAATGTGACATTTTTAGCAGTTTTATCTTATTTTAACATTTAGCTTCAAACTAAGAATAAAACAGCCAAAGGTTTGCAGGTGTAAGGTTGTACTTTGTCAGGTTTAACATTCCTTCCACTTCCGTCCACTAGAGGGAGACACAGGCTCATTGGAGCGGCTCCGGGGGGGTCCCCAGCTGCCAGTGCCCACCACCGTCGCCCACCACCCCCTCCACCCTGTTCATCCAGTCCCAGAGCAGGTGCCCATGTCTGGGCCTGTCTGGCCCTTCACCCCCTTATCTGATTAATAGTACTAATCCTGGAGGTGTTCCTGCCTGCCAGAGAGGCCGGCCACCGGGCTGGCCACTTTCATGCTCGGGGGCGGCCTGGCCACGAGGCACGGTTACGGGTTGCACTTTGCCAGAGGTGCCCCCCCCATCCCACTCCCTCCTCCCTCTTGGAACCGAGGTGGGGTGTCGGTCGAGCCGCAGCTTAGCTTTCTGTGTTTTTATTTAGCTACATCCAAAAGAAAAACCCAGATCCGTTCATTATCTTCTTCTTTAAATGTATGAATCACTTGGCCTCTCTCTTCCCCCCCTCCAGCCAATCCCCTGGAGCATCACTACTACAATGAGAAACTCCAGTTCAGTGAAGGTAAGTTCACAAAGAAGCAATTCGCAAAACAATCAATTTACTCCACATATCCACTACGTTTGTGTGCGTTCAGACTCTAAATTGTCGACCGTCTTCCAGAAATCGGTCAGTGAACTGTCCTCCTCTCCCTCTCTCTGCTTTTCACTCAGTAGTGAAATTCAAACAGCCTTATCAGAAGACAAACACTCATCCCCCTGCCCTCGCCTCACCCCCCACCACCCATCTTCCACACTCTCATTTGCATGCATTTGTTTACCTCTTCTTCTTCTTAATAGAGCACTCTCCTCCTTAATCACTTCTTTCTGTAAAGATGAAATGAGAGACTGTAAAATAAACCGATAAGCGTGTGATTGCACCACATTGAGAGTAGTGGTGCCTCCTTTCCTCTTGAATTTATATATATATATATATATATATATATATATATATAATGTGTGTGTGTGTGTGTGTGTGTGTGTGTGTGTGCGGGCAGAGGCAGATGCACAAATTCAATTAACTATTTTTCTTTTTTTTTATATGCATCTTTCTGTCTGTTTAACCTCCAGAGATGGGAGGAAGAGGGCTAGGAAATTAAATGAAAGGGCCTTGGTGTGGTACACACATTGAGAAATGTGCTGCAAACTGTGAGGTTGCATTTGAGAGATAACTCAAACACGCCACAAGTCCCCAAGAATAAATATATTCACCTCTCCACAAAGATCGCTCCGTATGTTTTAAAATTACTCTGTCCGTCATGTTGAATATTTAGTGAAGAAAAAAAAAGATATGCAGCTGTGTTTTATAGATGCTTTTGTGACTTTACTTGGATTACAAACTTGGAGTGAGATTGTCTTACACTGTCAAAACACAGAATCTTTTGGTCTAGTTTCTAGGGCAAATATATGGGTGCACTTGAAATAAGACTTAACTAACTTAAATGTAACTTTTCAGCTAGAAATAGGAGATCATTTTAATTAGATAATTACTTGATATTGATGGAAAAGTGGTTCCATTGGCAGATAATTGCACTTATAACATGGAATAATGTTTGTCATGAGTGAAATAATCTGCCAGTGGAACCTTTTCATTAACATTAAGTAATTATTGATTCAAAACAAGTGTCTTTGTCTTATTTCAAGTGTACTGAGATATTTGCAGTATAAACCAGACAAAAGTTACCTGGTAAGACTTTGTGTTTTTACATTCTAGCATGAGTCTCTCTCTGTTACATACTCAATATTGAGGTAGGAAGACCATTTGCTTTCTTTTTTAATCGCACCTGAATGTTTCGGTCACCAAACCAAATGTGATATTAGACCAAGAGTATCTGAATAAATATAAAAAGCAGGAATCTTAAGGAAAAAGCTACTGAAATGAATCTATGTGAAAACGTAACCCAGTGACTGCTTGTCCCGTTCCTCGGTTTGGAATGACTGTTTTCCCTGTAGAGGGATTTAGTTTTATATTTCATTGCAGAATCATTTTAATTCAGCCACTTTGGAGGGGTTTTTTTCCATATAAACGACCTGTTTAACTTTGAGTTAGACTTTAACTAGGCCACTCCAAAACTGATTTGTTTTTCAGCCGTATAGAGGCAGTTTTGCTGGTGGGGTTTAGACTGTTGCATAACACAAAGGAGTCTGAGCCTTAGGTCACAAACTGATACCAGTAGTGAGCAGAATATATGGTTTCCCCAATTACAGGAGGCCCTATGGGTTCTGAAGCTGAAAAACAGCCCCACACCATGACCCTACCACCACGCACACTACTGCTGCTGGTATTATGTTCTTCATCTGAAAAGCTGGTAATTTCAGACTAACTGGAAGAAAACCTGTGCTTTTCTCTCATGAGTTTCCATACATATTAGTTTTAGAGATCATAAAGTCTTTCTTTGGCAGTCATTGGACAGTCTGTGTGTTTTTCCGGTCAATGGTGCTTTGGGCCTTGCTTTTCTATGTTGCCAGACAAGTTTAGGTTTTTCTTGATTCTACAGATTTGACAACAAATAGACCTAGATGTGACAAAAAGCTAGGCTAATTGCAAATAATTTATGCTTTGGCAAGGGAGAGATTAGAAATTCATATAGAGTCATGCTGGTTTTCCTTTTAAGAAAAGAAAATAGTATTTTGTACTTATTCAAATTATTTGTATCTGATATGAAAATGTGGAAGATGTAAGATGAACACTTTTTAAGGACCACTGCATTTTAAAATGTAATTTAGCCTATTCAGTAATACTTTTAAGAAGTTTTAGAAATATGTCTGATTATATAATGCTAAATCTCAAAGTACTCCCAGTTAAAGGTTCCATAATTAAGAAAGCTCTTGTTTTAGTTTACAAGTGCCTGATGATAAAACTGAAAATTAACCTTGCCAGTTTTTATAATTTTGTGGTCAGTCGTTTGGTAAACATTATCTGTTGCTTATCATTACGTTTTATGGAAACTTTAATGAATCGTAGATTGTGCTTTTCATATTTCTTCTTACATAGTCACAGTTTTAAGAAAATAATGGATCCTATAATAAGAAGCTTTGATTCAAAACACCATGTTAATTTACACTCCCCACTACACTGATACTATCGGCACCGATGGTATGAGTGTGTAGAAAACTTTTATTGCAGTATCGATGCTGAAAGTATAGAAAAATCATTTGAGTAGTTATAATAAGTAGAAATAATTATTTTTAACATAAGTATCAGTAGCAAAATTATTGGCGTCCCTAAAATTCCTGTCTGATTAAATCTTTTTTGTGTTTTTATGTGTTACTTTTGTTAAGATGATAAGCGTTAATGGTAATTTCTAACGAGTAATCCATAGCCCTCTTTTTCTTAGCCTAAAAACCTTTATCTGTTCTACCTTCAGTAATGAACACGTAGGGTTTGCTCAACTCTAGTTTAATCGGAAACATGTCCTTCGGAAAGATAAGACTAAGGTTTAGCTTTATGGCAACAAACCCTCCAGCTGGGTCTGGCATGAGAGAAATCATGAATATGTGGAGAAGTACCTCAGTATGGTGAAGGATCTGTGATGCTGTGGGCTATTTTGTCTTTCAAAGGCCCAGAGAACCTTGCTGGAGTGCACAGCATCGTGAACTCTTTGAAATACAAGAAAATTTCTAAAGAAAACTCTGCAAGTAAAATTAAAACAAGTTGGCGGCAGAACAATTATCCCTTTCAGTACAGAAATGGTTGATATGGAGCAAAATCAGTCTGATAAGTATCCTGTATTATTATCTTAACTAATTGCTGCTGGCTAGTCTAAAGGATTTGAATGGGGGGAGTGACGTGTGCAGAGGATGTGACTCGAATAGTAATCAAGTTGTGTCTGTTCAGAAGACAAAGAAATTTGCTAAACTTCAACTTGAAACCATTTTGATGAATAAAACCAACTAAACCTTAACTATTTCTGCACTCATTGCCCCTTTTTGGTTTCATTCAGACTGTAAAAACTGAGCCAGTTTACTTGGGTCTACTTTAGTTCCTTTAACACCTCCCATCTCAGCCTTCATCTTTTCATTCCACATCACCTTTATTCCACCTTTTTATGCTTAATCTGCAACCAAGTTATTAAATTCTTTCCCCACATTCCCTGGGATTCCCAGGGGTGTTGTTTTAAAGAGTATCCCTCTCTCCTCTGCGATTAAACGATCGGTCACACGATCTCTCCACTCTCCCCTCCGTAGCTCGAGGCTATTCGTGGACCCCCAAGAACCGCCGGCCGGAGAAGCTGCGCGACTCGCTGAAGGAGTTGGAGGTAACCTCACTCCACCTCTCCAAAACCCCACCACCACCACCACTACCCCTCTCTCCAGCTTCTTCTTCTTCCTCCCCTCTGGGGATTTTTGCCGTTTTCCCTTTCCGAAACGGCTGATTGATTAACAAATAGGGGCATTCTCTGTCTGCCTTCGCTCTTCCCCCGTCGTCCTCGTTTGTTCTCGTCTCTCCCTCTCTCCTCCTCTCTCATCGCCTCTCTTTCGGCCGACCTCTGTCATCGGACGGGATATTTGAGGGGATCAGGGGGCCACGGACTCCCCCCTCCCCTTTCTTACCCTTCCTCCCTCCTTCTCTTCCACCTTCCTCATTCACCTCCTTCTCCTGTCTTCCCCTCTGTACTTGTGGCAGTACAGACCTAGCTTTGTTTGCTGGAACCTGTCTGTGGCTGTTATCCACACACACACGCACTCAACCAACCCAACCACCTCCCTCCTCTCACCCGTAACCATTGTCTGAAACCAGAAACACCCAGCACACCTCCTCTCTCTCCGACCTTCTCTCCTCCCATCCAATCACCCCAGCTGGGCCTGGAATGTTGCAGGAATGACTGACCTTACACTCACACACACACGCATACTCACGCGCACACACACACGCACGCACGCACGCACACACACACATACAAGCAAGCAGTGGTTACCTGCATCCGTTTCCCCCCCGTCCCCCCTGGACCCGCCCCTCGGTTAGCAGGAGCTGCTGGAGTGAGCACTTGTCGGGACAGGTATCTACTACCACAAACGGACTGTTTCCCTTTTGTTTTCAGTGTCTCTTTCAAACATTTTCCGGGGTTTTCGATAATTATTGCATTGTTGAAGCAAAATTCTGTGCCCTCTTTGCCTTACACTTTCTCTATTATGTCCATTCAGGAGCTGCTGCAGAGCAACACCTGCGTTCACACCAGATGGAGAAGCAAGTACTACTGCCAGGTACACACCCTTCCCAGCTCAGCACCTTCTGGGTTCAAGCAGACACACACACACACGCACGCACACGCACACACACACACACACACACACACACACACACACACACACACACACACATGCAGGCACCTGTTAATGCGCATCAGTGAAAGAGCTAAAATGGACAGTAATATCATCTAAGAGATCATTGTAAGCTCATTATGGGAAACTATTATTACAATATTTGAAAACAAAAGTCGAAAGCCTTAAAAGCAAATCTGATCTTCTCTTTTTTTATTTTAATCTCATGATAGATTTTTAAGCCACCCTGCAGAAAACATACATCTTACCTAGTTCATTACCTTTAACTAGGATATTCATTATGACAAGCCAAACATTTGAAAGCATTGCACCAAAATAAACTGGGATAAACGTTAACCTGTCAGCTGCATTATGATGTATGCAGATGATGTTGAGCAATGGAGTGCTGGTGACTGTCACCCTCAAAGGACCTCAACTCGATCAAGTGTGTGTAGACCGCACGTTAGTGGGTCGACTTCCTGCCAACACTGTGACTGATGGTGAGTTGTACTGTGATTAAGAGTTTCTCATTTATTTATCACTATTAAGCTGCTTATTTCCATCCCAAGTCCACAGTGAACCAAATAAAATCCAGAACTTGAAGATGGAATCAAATTCAGTCTTAGATCGTGTTAAATACAGTTTTACCTATTACTGCAGTACAGTCCAGCCTTACAGCTCAGTTTCCTACAAAAACTCAATATTAGGAAATATTGACCTAAAATAAGCTCCTACATCTTGCTGAAAAGTTACTTATTAGTTAGTTTTATTTCAAGTCAACTAAGATATTTGCATTACAAACTAGAGCAAATATACTTGGTAAGATTTTGTGCTTGTGCAGTGTACAATCACTTTAATAAATTCTCAAGCTTTTAGTTTTTAGCAATGTATTTCAGCTTTCAGTTTTTATGCTCCACTTATTTGGAAAAATTGTAGAAATATTCTACAATTGGGACATTAAATTTGTAGGTAATGCATAGTACTTTTTATTTTCACTAATAAAATTCAGTTATTATATGTCCTTATTTGTCGGAATGCTCATATTTATTTAAAGACTTTTTTGGCTTTTTTTTTTTTTTAGGTTGTTTTAATTCAAACGTTTGGTGTTTAAAAATCATCATCATCCGCTCGGTTTCTCTCGGCCCGTCAGTGCTGACTGTTTGCCTACACCTGCGCTCCCTCTGCATGCACTTCCACATCCACCACACACTTCCCCACACTCTGTCACGCAGTCGCTCTCTCACACAGGCGGCGCCTCGCACCATAACAGGTGCCACAGGTGAGCCAGGCGACTCTTGCTAGCTAATTGCGGGCAAATCCTTTTGTGCTGCGTGTGTCCAGGGGCCTTCCCTTAAGAGCATCCATCAGTGTTTTTCCCTCCATCGCGCGTTACTCCAGGGAGCGCCGTGCACCCCCCACCTCACCTTCCCCTTGCTCTGGGCTCCCTCGCTCTGCAGACCTGGCAGGAGAGAATAAGAGGCTGTGGACAACGGCCCAAATCTGCTAATTATTTCTTTCTTTCTGTATCAATTATTTGTTCATAACACCGCCCTCCCCACTTCCGCCTGGGGTCTCGAGACACTTGATAAAGCCCCCACAGTGCACACATAGCACACCCGTGTAATTACATACACACACATCCTTTTTCCCTTTTGCATAGGCCAACAAACACTTACTGTATGTCCACTTGCATTTACACACCTAAAAGAAAAAGACTTGCACACACTCAGGTACACACTCGCCTCCCACTGCGCTTCATTCAAAGCCTCAGAGGGCACTAATTATTAGAGTAATGGTTGTGAGAGGGTGGGTTCCGGGGATTTTGTGTACGTGTGTGTGTGTGTGTGTGTTTTGTGTGGGATGGGGTGCGGGGGGGTTGCAGTCAGATTGGGGTTCTCACATCTGCCACTTGTTAAATTAGGCTGAGACAATTAACAGCAGAGAGCCGGACCAGATCGCAACGTCCAACACATTTATCATTACTGGAACCGTTTACAATATCAACTGAGTTGCGATCCCTGCATATGTGTGTGCGTGTCCACATGTGTGCGTGAGTAGTTATGCCTAGTAGTGTAGAACTTTCATTATTGAAATTAGAATTTACAATATTTTCAACTAGTAAACATAAAAGATAATATCCATCAGGTGAGTTTTGACCTGCTTGTTGACAAAGTTCAGGATTGTATCTGAGAGAGGAGACTTATTAAGATGTAAATCTAAAATGTTTCAGTCAAGATGCACCAATCCCATATCAATATCTGTATCAGTCAAGATACAGAAAAATAATTATGTCAATTCAGTTATTCAGAATGCAGAGTAGAGTGAATTCCTATTAGTGCAGACGGAGCTCATCTGTTCGCACTTACAATATAAAATGGTTGAAGCTCTTTGGCATGGAAGTTTTTAAATAATTTAATTGGATAAAAAGAAATTTCAAAACCTACCCAAGCCTTAAAATAATATTTGTAAAGGGGAAGTATTAAGTGTTTTCCAGGCACATAGTGCCAGCACAATTAAGTAACTATGTTCCTTCAGTTTTTATAAAAATGCTACATATATCAAATATAAATCAACTTCTTTGAGCTTTACATCATGTTATGTAAAAGGACGTAAAAGGAATTTGACTTCATAATTTAATGCCATGAAAATGAGTCTTTAAGAAACTCCTGATCTTTCTGAAACTTCGTTTTCAGAAAGTCATCCCAACAGCCCTCCTCTAATAACCCCAAACCAATGTTTTTACCAGCCTTGTACTGAGAAGCAGCTCGGATAATGATGAACAGTTCCACTTGATGGTTGCTAATTGCTGCTAGTCTGAAGGAATGGGGGAACCCTGGAGGAGGGCTAATCTGTGAGGTGGAAGCTCGGAAGCTTCGAAACTGCAGCTCTGGTGGAGCTAGGTCCAATCAGGCGTTTTGCACACCTGAATGGTTGTCATGGAGATTTAAGGGTTTCTTAAACATGCATAAAAGAGTCAAGGGCATCACTGAAGGTATGTTTTTGATTAGGTAATAACAACATAACATGATGTAAAGCTCAAAGAAGTTGATTTCACATAGTACTGCCCCTTAATGTTTTGACTGGACAAAAAAACATGTAATTTTCTGTCATATTAAAATTACAAGTTAGCCGCCTGTTGATGTTGTCGATCAGCACGCTGCGCTCCTCCTTCGTTAAATCCAAACTGTCCAGGATGGTGGGATCTGACACGGCCTGTTTGAAGACGTCGTAAGCGCCGTATCCTGGCTGCTTGTATTTCTCGTCAAAGACCCAGGCGGTGCGCTGGTACAAGCTTTCTAGCTGCTCGTCCTTGGTGTGCTCCAGAACCTCCGCCACGTGCCGCAGGATGCTGTAAACAGTTTTAGATTTGGTAAATTTATCTTCGCACTTGATGGCCTCCTCTGGTGAAACTCTTCTTTTTGATAAGTCGATGTATCCTTATTCGCTTGCTGACATAATTTAGAAATTTTGCATGTATTGATTTACTTTCAACTGATTAAGCGTCACAGTTGTAGCTTTGAAATTACGCTGCAACATGGTTTGCAATGGCAGTTTATTTTCAACTTTGTAAAGCGGAAAGAGGTTGTGAGTTTTTGGATAAAGAAGAAAATCCCTTTTTCTCCAATTTGCAAGGATTCAACCAAACTACAGACCAGTTTCTTTTTTCTATTTTTTTTTTAAAGGTTAAAACAAAAAAGCCAGTCTGTTTTCTTTTTCTTTTATTGTCTCTTTGGAAGTCTCACTGTTCGCTGTTCTGGTTTAAACTTTGCAACCTGGAGGCCGGTTTAACCCTGTTGGAACAATGAGCTCCGATTGCATCACACTGAGAGGCAGATTACGAATATTCTACCGCATCAAAGTATTACAGGTTTCCATTGGCCGACGGCTGGGCCAAGTTGAGCATATGCTGCACGATTAAGCATCCTTAAGTGATTTTTCATAGCAGGTTTCATTTCCCCATGTTTAAATGTGCTTTGCTTAAGCCCATTGGCCTCTTATGTCAACATGCTGCAGAGGAGATGGCATTAAATGGATTTAGGGGGCTCTGTGTGCGTGTGTGGTTTTGTTTGTGTGTGCGTGATGAGATTGCTCTTTGCATCTGACTGGATGCATTTTGTGCATGTGTTGGTGTGAGTGAATGTGCATGCATAAAATATTGTTGCAGACCTCCAAGTGTAAATGCTTATGTAGCTTCCTGCCCATGTGACTACATACACACCACAACGAGCTCCTTCAGCGTGTGTGTGTGTGTGAGTCTGGGAGCTGTTCGTGGATGGGTCACGCAATTCTGGCCCCTAATGCCAAATCAGCCACCTGGTCCCCAGATTGGACCGCGGCCTGATTTGGAAAAGAATGGGATTATGCTTAATCCCGTTTATAGACACCCACGGAGATCAATACTAAACTGCATTTAACTTGATTCGTCTGTAATCTATCACAAAGACGCTTACTATTGCATTAAATGTTGTTTCTAAAAGCTAAGGCTCATTAATGGCCGTATGTTTTTTTGTTTTTTTTTGTAACGGTTTAGCTTTGAACCAGTTCTTTACTGTATAATCCAACTGACAGACTCTGTTGACCTGATTTAAGATGCTAGTTTTTTTTTTTATGTTTTTTTTTTCAAACCGTGTTTTCTCTACTCTCTTGAAAATTAGCATATTAATTCGAAAATTTCCACACAACAGGATGATTCGAAGCGCAATCCCGCCAATATCCTCCTGTTTATAAATACACACGGCACGGTTAATTGCCGGTTAGATGTTTAAATCTCGGGGTGCAGCCTCACCCGTTCAACTCAAAGCAGGATTTCTGAGAGACATGTGTAGCAACCCCCTTCTCACCCCTCCCCTCTTTTCCATTTAATTGGTTTCATAAACAGATTAATTTGAAGGAGAGGGTGGGGTACGCAGGGGGGGCTTAATTGGTAATCAGCATTTCCATGCAGCTCCAGAAAGAGTTGAACAGGATCAAGTGTGTTCTTCTACTGTTTAAAAGTGCGTGTTTTACAAAGAACACGGGAAAAAGTTGGGAGAGGAAAGAGGAAAAAACGTGTATAAAGGAAGCAGAAAAAGTAAATGTTGGACACCGCACACTAACTGAACAGTGTAAAGGTATACAGAAGAATATTTATCAAAAAAGCAAACAAACACACGGATCAAATCTGACCTAGAAGAAAGCCATAAGAGGTCATGTGCTGCAGAAGCTCTACCTAGATGAAACAAAAGAAATAACTTTTTTGGCCTATATTCTCAATACTTTGAGCCAAAACTAACACCACACTTAACCTCAAGTACTCAGTGGTGGTGGCCACATCATGCTGTGGGTATTCTTCTATTCAGCAAGGACAGGCAAGTTAGTCAGAGTCGATAAATACAACTAAATTCAAGGCAGTCCTTGAAGAGCACCTGTTGGGAGCTGAAAAAGACTTTAGACTTGGGCAGAGACTCACTTTAAAAATGGAAAGTGTCTGTCTCTTAGATATTCAGTGACAACTACGATGTAGTGATTTAGATCAAAGTATATTTAGGTATTAGAATGCCCCAGGTCTAGTTCAAGTTTATTTGTATGGCACATTTCAGCAACAAGGCAGGTCGAAGTGCTTTATGCCGTAAAAAAATAACACAGTAACCAGTTATGAAACAAGCAATAAACATTACATTTTGTCAAATGCCATCATCAAAACCACTAAGCAAATATACATCAAGTATGTTGATCAATGTTCCAGTTGTTATTAATCAAAGACAGTTATAAATATGGGGGATTTTAGCCTTCATTTAAAGGAACTCCGTGTTTTGGAGGTTTTGCAGTTTTCTGAAAGTTTGTTCCAGATTTGTGGTGCATAGAAGCTGAATGCTGCGTCTCCATGTTTTTTTCTGGATGCAGAGCAGAACCAGAACCAAAAGACTTGAGAAGTCTGGAAGGTTGATACAACATCAAGTCTTTAATATATGTTGATGCTAAACTGTTCTGTGATTTATAAACTGTCAGAAGTCGATGTCCAGACCTAAATCCAATTGGTAAACGTTGACGTAACTTGAAGATTTTACCCGTTCTGATTGAGGTCAACCTGCTTAGCAGTGAAGAATTTGCAAATATTTCCATCTTTAGAAGGAAACATATTAAAACCGTAATCCAAAAGACTTACAGTGGTAACTTTAGTGAAAAGTCTTTCTACAAATTATTTTTGAAACAGGGTGTCAGCTTGCCATAGGAGCCACTACATTGTAATATTATTGCAATAATACCTAAACAAAGCAAAAAGGACGAGTTATAAATAGAACTCGTCCTTTTTGATATGGATGGATTATTTATGTTATTATCTTTTTTTAACCAATAAATATGGAAGTATTTATTAATTCTCAGTAACTGACTGTGCCAGGTGATCTTATGGTTTCTTTAAGTGTCCTCTCTGCTGTGTAAAGTTGCTGTTGTCCTTTCAGTTTAGGGTTGTGATATTGAGTGTGGTGATGTCATTTCCAGCGGTGCTGAGCGATCGGCTGGTTCTGCTGTCCTTCCTGGAGCAGAGCCAGGTCGCCGGCATCTACCTGAACAAGAAGAGCCAGGATTCCCTGGAGACTGGCAGGCGAACAGACAAACTCTCATCTTCTGAAATCAAGGTACAGAAGGCCGCATTGATGTGTGGGTGCGTGTGTGTTTTCAGGTTGAATTTAGCGAGCATAAAAGAGGAGGAGAAATCCAATGAGGCAAAAAGGAAAGGTGTCATGTTTTTGTTCTCTATCCTTGGCCAGTTTTTTTTTTCTTCATTTCACCTGATTTCCAACACCCTAAAGTTTTCTTTTGGATCACTATCACATGAAATTAGGTCATGTTTATCACAAAATTAAACGCCTAAAAAATTCTCCAAACACAAATCTACAAATTGTTCTAAAAAGTTATAAGCATCTAGTCTGATAAGTGGCAGTAGTTTAAATTTGGGTGCTGAATACATGTTGTCTCATTTATATAAAGTAGCATCTTTATAAAGTAGTAGTAGTAGTACTGGTAGTAGCATGTATATAAAATAGCATCTAATCCATCTAACTACTTTAGAGTTGGAGTTAGATACTCTTAGAATGAGTTGACTCAAACTTTTTCCCAATTTTGTCTACAAAATTTCTGAGATTAATCTCAAACTTTCTGAATTTCAAGTCAACAATTTTGGGAGACTGAAACTCAGAAATGTCCAATTTTCTTTCTAGAAAATTTCTGAGATTAATTTAATTTTTTTTTTTGTTTTGGCAGAAATGTACTTCCTCCCTTTTTTTCTATGTACAGTTGTCCTAAAACGCTGTCTTATTAATCACACTTTCAACTTCTAAAGAAAGAGTTAAATTGTTTACTTACCCATTTAAAACCAAACAGCTAAGAAACGGCTTATTGGATGTAAACTTAGTATGCAGTCCACTCTTGCAAAAATGTCATTTTTAGACAAAACAACCAGTTTGAGACTAGATGCAGTTTAATATTGAGCTTGATGAATATTTATATTTCTTCAACTCTCTCATGTATGTATTTCACTCTTGTCTGGATTGACTTTAATAGATGCTGGTAATAGATCTGATCAAGAGCAGCCCTCTTCTTCTCTAAAAACAGTCTCCTCCCTCTGTAGCTCCTAACAGCTAAACCAGGCATTATCACATTACTGCCAGGCCCTTTTCGTCAAGATGTGTGTGTGGGAGACGCGCGCGCTGCCACAACTGCGTGTGTGCGTCAATGCAATCGTTCCCGCCGAGCGTCTGTTTCCAGAAGCAGAGTCCTGATAAGGTGCCACCTTCATCACCAGCACCACTCCATTCTGCACACCCCTGCGCACCAGTGTCAATGCACACGCACACACATGCATGTAACCTGCAACATGCACACATGTGAGCGCGGAAACACTCTTCATCCCACCCTTCACCGACAAACACACACACACACACACCCACGCACAAACACATTGCCCTGGTCCAGTGGGCTAAGCTGGAAAGGGGAGAGTAGGGGGGGCTAAACTAATCCGGCCCACAGAAAGTGGTTTTTGATTATTGCTGACCAGCAAACGCCAGCAGAAAAAAAAAATAAAATTGAAGAGCAAGGAGATGGATGGGGATGGAGGGGGGCATGCGGGTGGTACAGATAGAGTGTGTTATTAACCCAGTGATTTTTAGATATTTTTTCCCCCTTCTTTTTCATTTCTAATCTGTCAGTGATCTCCTGTTCAGCTGTTCGGGGAAAAACTCTTTGTTCCCTTTATCATCACATGTACTTCTATCATTCACAAGCATATTTTGTGTCCAAAGAAAATTCTGCCCCCCTCAGGGAGCAAGAAGGGCAGACATGGACCGCTGCATCTCAAATCTTCTCTACTCATACAAGGCAGCGCACCGATTCCTGCAAGTTCTTAGGCTTTTAACCCCTTTTCTGTGCTGATACATTAATTTGTAAAGAGATATTCCCATATTCCTCCTCCTCCTCCTGACAACATGCCTCTTTGGTGCCAGTTTAATGTGAACAGTAACATTTGTTTTGGCTAATATCCATTTATTATATATTCAAAAAATTAAATTGATCCAAGATCCCTTTTCTCCATGTTTGCTTTCTGTATTTTCTGTTAATTTTTCCAGCCATGTTCAAACTCCAGTCTTTCTTATCTTTTTTTTTTCAAACACATTTTCCTCGTTCCTCATTATCACTCTTCATTACTTCAAGAAAAACATAGTACCACTGTGTGCTGCAAAAACACAACATTTTACCATTGTTTAGTTTCTAGTGCAAATATCTTAGTACACTTGAAATAAGGCAAAGCTAACGCATAACTAACTTTTCAGCAAGATATGGGAGCTTGTTTTAAGTTAAGAATTTATTGACATTGATTTAAAAACATTGTAGTTTCACTAGCTGATTATTTAACTTGGGAAACACGTCTTCTAGCCTGTGGAGCTAGAACTTTTTCCTCAATTTTAAGAAGTTATTCGCTTAAAAGAAAGTCATGTATCATACTGAAAAGTTTCTTTTATGTTAGTTTCGTCTTAGTTCAAGTGTACTGACATTTGAGCTAGAAAGTAGAAAAAAATACTTAGTAAGATGTTGTGTTTTTTCAGTGTGCAGAGTACCACCAGGTTGCTCTGACAATGCCACTCTTCGGTGTGGACGACCTTGCGGAGAGAAGACTCTAATTAGTAGTTTTCAGCATCAGTGAGATGTTTTCGATTCAGTTCTGAGAGACAAAATAAAGAAGTCATAAATAACACAGTTATAAAATAGAGAAGAAACACTTTTCCAAATCAAATTATTTTCTGTATGAAACTTTTTAAACTAGCATTTTATAGTAGGTAATATGTGTATCACGTGTGTTAGAACAAAGTAACTAAACTTACTGTATCTTGTTGATCTGCAAATGGCTCAAAAGACAGTAAATAACATCAGAACAAAGCTTGTGCATAAACAAGAGGTCTCACTGCAACATGAACTGCAGGTCTGTGTCTTGTGTATTTTTGGATAAAACGTGTCTGTTCTTCATTCAGTGAAGTTCCTTGCTGTTGGTAGAGTATCCAGACATTTTACTCGAATAGCAACAGTTCATAACAGTATTATTCAAGTAAAAGTAAAAACCTCAAAAATACTCCTAAACATTTTTTTTGCGTTGATGTACGTAGTTACTATTCATCTGCTGCACATTATTGTTACAATAACGCTGTACATAATATCAATACTGCAAAGAATCCCTTCCACAACTGTAAATATGAACCTATTAGGTAAAGTGGCAGGTATTCAAACTTTCAGTTCCAGTAAACCACTCAGTTGTGCTTATAGTTTAAAATAATGGGAAACATTTTAGCTTAACAATATTCTGGTAAAATCCTCATGACGTGAATTATTTCATTGTAGAAAAGCTGATGTTGATGGATGTAACTTTTTAAAATAAAGCCATGTTGTTGAGATGGTAAATTTTTGGGTAATGCTACTCTCTACCTTGATGACAAACAGAAATCAACAAGGTCTAATTCAGTATTTCACTTATCATGGGTCATGTTTTCTTGGTAAAAAGTCACCTATAGTATCTTATGTTATCACAATTTGTCTTTTGCGGAAAAAGACAAATTGCTACACGTGGCAAGTTGCCTCTGCTCCTGAAATAAAATTATAAAAAAAACTTTTTATGATCTTCTTTTTCTTACATTCTAACTCCCAATCAGAATTGGCTAAAATTGATTTTGACAAGTGAAAGTGTTACAAACACCAGTCGTCTTCAGTTGTTCTCTTTTTTCCTACCTGTTTGCCACTTCCTAACTACTCTTCTGCAGCATGTTAGAGGTCGGGTTCATATGTGTGTGTTTGTGCATGTAAGCCATTCGTTCTGCTTCATTCTGAATGTGATGATGAGGTCAAAGTGTAATTTCACCAGCTTTAAAATCACCTGATGGTGTGTGTGTGTGTGTGTGTGTGTGTGTGTGTGTGTACGTCTTCGAAAGCATTTTTTTAAACACCTTTCTGCTTCTGCTTGCAGCTACACATACATTTATGCACACACATGCACAAACTTACATATGTGTGTTTTTTGTGAGTGTGTGCGCTCCTTCAGCCCCTCTGGCCCCCCCACCCTTAAGCGCCACGAGAGCTCATTACTGTGCGTCTCTTTGTTGTGGCCCGTAGAGCGTGGCGGACCTTCCTAAAAAATATGCACATCGCTAAAACAACAAGCCCACGCAGACATTAATAATGGAAGATAAAACACAACCTCAAACATCAACAAAAACAGAACGGGGGAAGGACAAGAGAGGCATCGGGGTCTGCAGCGGTGGAGGTGTCCGCGCCCCGAGGTGTCCAAACAGCAGACCAGGAACACAAATCCAAATGGATTAATAACTAACGACTTCCCCTGAAGATTTGTTTTGATTCTGCGGGCTTCTTGACCCCTTCTCAGTGCACGTGTGTATGTCTCTGTGCTGCTGCTTCTAGGTGATGTGTGTGGAGGTGGGCGGGCCGGGTGGAGGACTTCGCAGGCGTGTAGCTCTCAGTCATCTCCAGGACGTGGCGCTCTGCTGGTGGACGCTGGACGAGCTCAGCGAGGGGATGTGGCCGTGGACTCCCACAGACATGCACAAAAACAATCTGGTCCTGATAAGCTGCTCACCTACTGAAGGACTCAAGGTGCACACACACACACACACACACACTGTATGTATTTATCATTTCAAGCATAGAACCAGACACGGCTTGTAAGTAGGACTGAAACAATTAATCGGATTAATCATGATGAGTCAATTACTGAAATAATTGTCAACTATTTAAGCAATCGATTAATTGTTAACTGCAGTACGCTGACTTAGAAAAAGACCATTTGCTGAAGGAACAACATGGTCAGGACTGTAATTAAGACAAAAGTGTCCGTAAAATATAAACAATTTGCATTTAGGATAAACAAAAAAAAAAACAACTATATACTGTATGTTCTCCCAAAATTTCTCAAAGTAGTAGAAATTGCTTAAGATTATGAAAAAAAAACAACTTGTATGCATATGTTTTTTATGTATCAAAAGAAAGAAAAACATAAACAACAATTGCAAAAAAATAAAAAGGCCCAAAGAGCCACTGCAGGTTGCAGACACCTGGAGTAAGATTAATAAGACATTCAAAGACATTCCACATTGTGGAATCAAACTCTGATGTGGACCAAAAAAGCAAACTCTGGTCCACTTACAAACCTAGGTCAGATGCATATGTGAACGGACTGGAGACAGCTCCAAAAGCAGGAAGCAGACTGTAGCGTAGGGCATTCTGGGTAAATACAACCAAAGCAAACACGAGAGTCTAGCACTAGTGGGAGAAATGCTTTGTGGTCTTTTATCAACGAAAAAGAGAAATTATACAACTTCTGAAATCTGACATCACTCCATTTTTGTTTAAATTTGATGAAGAAGGAAGTGGTGTTCAGTGTCTTCTTCAGAGGTTTCCATGTTGTTTCCTTCAGTGGTTCTTAGTGCAATGCCCCACAAATCGGGGGGGGGGGACAGGTGTTTCAAAGGATTTGGTTGATGTGCCGCAGAAGAATGTGAAAGCGAATCGCACCAGTTGAAAATATAACAAATATTGCAACATTGGTCCCGAATTGAACCGAGTCTACCGGACTGTAAGGTGTGAAAACACCTTAAAAGTCATAAACACTGGAGTAAAAAGTTTAACAATTACAATGTCAAGGTATGCAATTGTTGCAGCATTCACCTGTTTGCTTGACATTTTGTCTGCAGTTACTGATGACTTCATGAAGACTAGGTTGATCATTTTCTTAAGTTAAGCTTTTTGTGGCCTCGCCGTTCGTTATCGGCTCTCAGTACGTTGAACATAACTTATTTTGAACTCAAGTGTTTCTTTCAAATGTTAGAAACACCAGACACAGTCAAAGCTATGAGACAACAAGCCTTAAAAAAGCTTGAGACTGCAAAGTGGATGACAAAAGTTCTTAAATCAGAAGGTTTTCAATGCTTTTATTGGATTAATAACTACAGTCACATACATTTCCTCCAGACTCTGCACTGCAAAGAAAATAAAAGCTGCAGATTTGAGCCGAGACTCGTGTCGTCACGGATTGGGGATTGGAAACGGTGTGTTAGTCACCTTAAGGGTGGTACCTCTGTTGCACCTCTGTGCATCACCATGTGAAATAAAAAAAAGAACGCCTACACGTCCCCCGGTTTCCTCACACACGCACTTGGCTGGCCTGTGGCAAAACCGTACCCATGATGAAGGATCAGTTCGGGATTGGCCTTGTGCCGAAATCACATGAAAGATCCTGTGCTACCAAACTGAGCTTAACTCCGCTGCTCCCCGGTTAAACAGATGCAAAATATTCACCAGAGCAGCAAGAGAAAAAGAGGGGAGGCGGGGGGGGGATCTGCATTAGCAACTGGATGCAGGACAAATAAATTCATGCAGGAGAGACCGAGGGAAGGTGTAGGAGGGAAAGGGGGCGCATGAATATGAAATAATCAGAGCAGATGTTGTTTGCTGCTGCTTGTTGTTTTTTTTTTGGGGGGGGAAGGCGCTCTACATTTATCACACTCCTTCACCAAGTTTTAAGTCCTCTCCGTCTTCCTCCGATATCCTTCCCCCCACCGTCCTCCTCCTTTCCTTTCCCTTCCCTTCCATCCTCGTCGCCTCTAGAACATTAAAGTCTGCGGCATCGCGTTCTAATGAAAGCGTTTGTTGTCATTTTTCAGATGCGCGGTGTGAAATTAAGCGAGCAGTTTATGTAAGAGCCGTGGCAGGAATCAAACGGCGGGAGACGCCAGCTACTTCAATCACTTCAAGCTCATATATATGTTCCTTTTGTTCAGTTCACTATCTGCAAGCGCTAAGCCAATTTTCTAGCCGGTCTCTCGGCATTTAAAAAAAAAGTCTGATTTTTTTTTTTTTGTTCTCTTTCGTATGTGGTCTTAATTCGTAAACTAAACCCCCCTCCACCTCCACTCCACCACACAAACTCCCCATGCTGATAAGTGGAGCCAAAAGCACACAGTAAGGAGAGGTGAAGAGGAAAACATACAGTTTAATGCATGCGGTTAGCATTTTTAATCATTCTCTTTTCACCCTTCTCTCCATCATTTTTGCCAAACAAATAAGCTTGCACAAAACATTTTCAGGAACTTCATGATTTAAGGGCTTTCTAAACAAAACAAACACATATTTTATATCTTCAGTTTGTTTTTTATGTTTGTGAGAGCACTTTTCTTCCCTTTTTGTGATGTTGTTTTATCTGTGTTTGCGTCATATTTTCTGCACGTAATTACTCCTGCCATAAAATGAACAAAAATGAACAGAAAGAACAACTTCTTAGTTATTTTAATTTGGTTTATTTCAGAATTCAATGAAGAGACAGACAGCAAAATCAGTTGATGTCGCTGTTCTGTCCGTTGTTGGCGTATTTTTGAAAAACTGTAATGAAAACACTATTTACTTGTATACAGCAGCAATGCACTTATTTGTAGAAACTGACCTACTTGAACAATGTGCAGCTGGATTCACCAGGGCTCTCACAGCAAGACAGCTCATAGAAAGTTGTGTCATTCCAACATGTTTGACAGCTTGTAAAGTGTTTTATCCTGCTGTGCTGTGAACATGTTGGGTTTTGATATTTAAAATTAACAAAATTATGGAGGTGAAAGTTTAGCCTAACTTTAATTTACGAGTAAAAGTAGTTCCTCCAGTGCTCCAGTACGTTCTTCAGTAGTGAATGCTGAGTAGGAAAAAAAATTCAAATGTTTATATATGAAAATCTGATTTTTAAAGAGGGAGCATATGCATAATTGTAGATCTGAAATGTCCCCATAAATATTTCAGGATGATTGCTTTCTATTTTCTTGGATTATAATGTTTAATCTGTTCACAGTAACAGTAGCATTATGGTTCATTTTATCTTCAAGGATGTTTTCTGTATTTAGCCAGCTTTAATGAATGGATTCATGAGTTTGCTTTTCAGTAAAAGTTGTTCATATTTGTGGTCCTGTTTGTATAAAATGAAAAATGGAAGAAAATACATTAATAACAGACAAATAATTCATGTTATATGAACTATTCTCCATTTGAATTTTGACGATCCAATTGTTCCACAAAATTGCAGCAAATGACCCTCATGCCGCACTCTGGACACTACTGGTCCAGATAATGTAGATCATTGCCATAACTATGAGATTTCCAAGTCCAGCACTTACCATGGCATAGCACTGAGGTTTAAAAGGATAAATAAGGACAACATTTTCTGTTCAGCCATTCTGAACAAAAAAGTTCAGAAAAATTGACAAACTTGAACATGTCAACAAAAATACAGCTTCATTTTGAATATCTCGTTTTTATTCTGACTGCATTTTGTTGAAAATAGTAAACTCTCAATACTCTTGCTGCAAGGGCATCCACACTAAAGAGTGTTGTTGTTATTATGACCTGATAGTTTGGTATGGTGTGTTCATGGACCACAGAAAATGTCAGGGGTTTTTTAAGCCCTGAATTGTTTAATTTTTCAGTACACCTCTTAACATGCAGAGGAGATAAAATCTGAATTAAAAACAACTTTTCTGTTGTTTTGAAGACGCTGCTCCATTTCTCTTCACTCTATTGGCTTAGAAACTGTCATGTCATGAAAACAGAAAATTTCCTTTGTTCTAATGTAGATATCATACCTGTCAAGTTAAAATGCTTTGCAACGTGCTGGGCTTAAGAAGATTTATTTTCTGTGAGAACATATTTCAGAATAAATTTATTAATTTGGACCAAATTAATTGCATATCTGCTAAAAAATTGTATTAACTCGTAAATATGGCAGTGATTTTAGAGTTCAGCTCACGTTTTAGTATTAAACTATGTGGAAAACCCAAATTTTTACTTGTTTTCAATCCTGTTGATAATATATTTTGAAACTAAAATAATTAACTTTAAAATAAGAAAAAACAGGATGTAGAAATTGAAGTTCAGCAAGTCCTTTGGTAAATAAATTTTGTCAGGTATGAAATCGAAGATGCAGAATAATGAGTCAAAATATGCTACAGTTTTGGATCTCCTAATGTTCATAGGTAGCAGCTGCTAGAGAGAAGGCGTGAGGAATATCGTTTTTTTTCTGTACTCCTGCTGTTCCAATGCATTTTGTCACATCAGTACCCCATCTCCGACCCTCTTTCACATGCCCAAAACTTCCCCGTCCCACCCTGCGCCCCCCACCTCTCTCCACTCTCAGCAAACCCTCATCCCTCCGGTCTTCTCCAAGTCCCTCCGTCTCTCTCCGCTCGTCTCTCCCCGTCTTTCTCTGCTCCGTGAGCTGGAAAATTGGCTTCAAAAGGCCACTGCTGTGAACAAGGGCCAGCCACACAGTTGGGCCCGTCCGCTTTATCTTTCACGCCACGGAGGGGGAGGAAGGGTGCCGGCGAGAAGGAGGGAGGAAGAATAGAGAAGAATAGTTTTGACCAGTCACTGAAACCAATAACCAGGAGAAAGCTACTTACTAGAGGTCTCTCTCTGCCTCTCTGTCTCCTTCTCCTCTCGTCTCCGCTCTCTTTGCATCTCTTCTCGACGTGCCTCACTCCGTTTCTTCCTTTCTCTTTTGCGCTTTGCCTCACAATTCTTTTTTATTTCCTCTTTCTTATCGCCTTTTGTGTACATTTCCCTCTGTCTTCAATATTTTTTGTCCTTTTCTGACCTTAATCCTCCTTTTTCTACATTATACGCTCAGAATTATTTGATATGTTTCACATTCTCATTTTCATCTAGAAGCTCAGGAGAGTTCACTGGCTGACAGAGCTTTAGCTGTATGTATGCTTGTAATCTACTATGTAAATTGTAAGGAGAATATATGAAGAAGGTTTAATGCTTCCAGAGCTGATTTATTTATTTTTTATTACCATAGTGCTAAAGAGTGCTTTGCTAAAGTTGTCTAACCCTTTGCAGTATTTTTATTTCGCGAAATACCACAAACATCTCATTTTATTCAGATTTGGTTTGGTAGCCAAAGACATAGTAGCAGAGAATTGTAGAAAGAAGACTATTTTTACAAGAAAAAATGTTTGAAAAGTATAGCTTTTGAAACATTTACTCTGCTACTCAGAAATAAAAGCCAGTGCGTAAAGTCACAAAATGTGGAAAAAGTTATAGAGTTGTGAATAATTTTGCAAAGTCCTGTATATCACTTGATATCATACAGACACGACTGGTTGTAGACTAAAACACTTACAGTAAGTAAGCTCCTGCAACTCCTTAAAGCTTAAGAAGCTGTGAAATATTTTCTTGTTTCATTGAGAAAGAGAAAAACAAAGGCTGGGATAATTTAAAAACTACAAGTAACAGTAGTTCTGCAGTAGTAGTGTAGTTACGTGCAGTACTACTACAGTAGTTACTAAAAGTAATTACTTGTGGTAGTTAGGTGTGCTAAGAGTGACCTGGTCCCCTCTGAAGGTCATCGGGACCGCTCCTGTCTAAAATCGGGGATATTTAACATGTTTGATTGTCTTGACTGAGAAACAACGAGAATGCAGCCTGTTGAATGTGACAGGTAGCCAATCAGAAAGGGAGGTGAAACATGGAGGGGAATCCCAAATACACAAGGCAAAACAACTGTCTTTTTTATCGTATATGGTCTCTCAGGTTTTAAAAATCGGTCAACAATTTTAAAATCTTGCTGTGAGAACCAAGCATTTGTGGGACCGAAATTGGTCCTGATGACTGTGACAGCTTTCTGAGTCAATGGGTCCTTTCCTGTAGTGTGCTTGCATGCTTGTTTATTCAATGCATATGTCGCTTTGTCCCCACAGCAATGTAGCTCTCCCAGGGATAGACCACCTTTGACCGGAATCGAGCCCCTCTTACCTGATGCCTCAAATAAACACACACATTGACACACAGCATTCACCCCCTGCGGAGCAGCAGGAGCTTGCTCTATGGGGATTATAGAGAAGGGAGGAAAAAAAGCTTTCGGGAGGACAGTCATCTGCTTCTTTCCTGCTGTAGACCATGGGCAGGCAGGGGGAAAAAAAGCTTTCCTCCCTCTAAGTCTCTTTTTGGCAATGCCTGCCAAAAAACTGGGCCGAGCAGCTTTGCAAAAGGAAAGGAAGGCAGGCAGGCAGCCGATCCCTCTTTCTGTCTACACGGCAAAAAGAAATGGGCTCATTTAGCCAAAGCTGCCACGGTCAATGCAAGGCTGTGATAGAGGCTTTGGTAAGGTGAAATCCCTTATAAAAGGCTCTGTTAGTGACTGTTGGACTGCTGTTTATCGCGGGCTGTTGTCTCCTCCTGCGGTTTCTGGTTCAAGGTGGGTGTTTCATCAAAAACCGTGACATGGACTGTGTTCTGAGCTGTCAGTTTCCTTAGCAGGGTCTTTGTGCCTGCAACCTGGTTGTGGTCCAGAGACAAATAATCGTCATTCTGGATTTTCATCTTTGGCCAAGGACTCTGAGGTTTCCTTGTATATCACACGAAGCAGGTTTTATTTCGCTGTCATTTTCTAATGCTGAGCTCCTGGCTCCTCGCACAGGTAAACAGTGGTGGTTGTTTATCACTTTGTGCCAAGCCGTGCCTTGCCCAGGGAGAAGATGTTGTTGACCTTGAGTTAAAATAGAGCTCTTATCATTAGCTGTCTTGATTGACAGCAGGGTGTTTATGAGCAGTGTCGAAGACCTTGGTTTGGCTTCATCTCTTGGGGTTTAGAGCTGCTTCCAAGAGGTGACTCGGTTCTGTCTCTGTCATGCTCTCTCTTTCTTTTGGTTTTCTTCCTTTTTTGTTCAAAAACTGTGAATTTAGTAATGAAATTATTCCATATAAAAGATACTACAGCATAGTAAGAAGTAGAGAAATGTCTGTATTGATTGCCTTGTCATGCTGACATGCACTTCAAAAATTTATTTTGGGGAATAATTAGTTGCAAACAGAAAAGAACTATGGCTCACATTTACTGTTGACACCAGATATTTATCTATACCGCATGAAAGGCACAATCTTTTCTTCACACAGTTTGACGTTATATTAGGCCAAACTTTTCCTGTCTTAGAGTGTTTTCATACCTGATAGTCCAGTAGACTCTGTTTGATTAGGGACCAAAGTTCCAACATTTGTTTTATTTTCAGCTGGTGCAGGTTGCTTTCACAGATTAAGTTAGTGTCAAACTAATCAAATCCTTTGAAAACCTGCTCCCCTCCTCGCCTGTGGTGGCGCTGTACCAAGAACCACTGAAGGAAATGACACAAACACATCTGGAGAAGTCATAAGCACAACATCCTTCTTCACGAAATTTTAAAAAATGCACTGACGCTAAATTTTAGCGGTTGTAGGATTTCTTTTTTGTCTTTGGTAAAAGACCTCAAGCCATTTCTCCTGCTAGCGCTAGACTCTTGCATTTGTTTTCGTTGCATTTACCCAGTATGCCCTACTCCATAATCCACTTAAAGCTTTAGGAGAAGCCTTGGTGTTCACATATGCATTTAACCTAAACATTGATCCGACCAAAAACCTAGTTCACTTTTTTGGTCCTCATCAGAGTTCGTTTTCTCGTTCACACCTCTCCAAGCGAACTGAACTTTCTAGCAAATTAACTGGAATACGATTAAAGCGGACTGAAGCTTTATTTGAGCGTTTAAATCCCACATGATCTGACTCTGACACCAGTTTTGTCTGAGAACTTTCTGATAACCAAATTGTTGCTCGATTAAAACATGTTTATGAATAACTATCTTTGGCCAGGTCCAGAAGTGTAATTCTGCCTCTCTACATCTTTTATAAACACTCAAAAGTAATGCTGGCTGGTTTCACCTCAAATCATTTTGCCACAACATGTAAGGTGTGACCCAGGTTTTTTGGGGGGGTAAAAATGTTTTGACAGCAATGTTTTGAAGCAAAATACGGAGAGCTCAGAGGTGCATTGAGACTTTAAATTATCTGAATCAAATTCTGTTTCCTTTTTTAAACCACAGCTCCTTTGCTCTGTCCGGACGACAGGCAACCCCCTGGACTGCTGCTTCAGCCAGCTTCAGCACTACCAGATCCTGACAGTGGAGTTACCTGCTGGACCTCAAGGACTGTCCGCTGACACCTGTGTGTATGAATGTGCACGAGGGCGCCTGCACCGTACATCCATCACTTCCATCCCATTGCCATCGCCTCCTCTCTCCTGCTCTCGTCACCCATGTGAGACCATTCTTCTCCTTGGCTTGAGGGACTCCTCCTTAGTGCTGTACGACCAGAGGCGGGCGGTGTCGGTCTTGGCCCCCTGCCCTGTACCGCCCTCGTACATGGCCTGGCACCCTGCGGGGGCTGTTGCCATTATGGTGGGGGGGCAGGAGGAAGTGATGTGCTTTGATGTAGGCTTGGCACCTTTAAACATGGACCTGATAGCAGAAGAGGCCACTCCAGCAGCCACATTGAGACTGACTCAGCACCTGAACTGCTCTGGAGGCCTGGCTGGACTGCAGTGGGGAGCTGGTTTGGATGGTGGACCGGAGGGGACAGATATGCTGACTTTGGTCTTTAATGGAGGACCATTAGCTGCCTTGAAATTTAGACTAGGTAAGTAAACAAAATATCTATAGGGTGCATTCACAGCTGCCCTGTTTAGTCCACTTTAATCCAACTCTAATTCATTTGCCTAGAAAATCCGGTTTGTTGGGGAGTTGTGAATGCGTAATCAAACTGTGATTCAGACCAATAAAAACAAACTCTAGTCCACACAAAACCCTAAAAACTAGGTCTCGATTTGGTTGAAGTGAACTCTGGTCCAGTTCCAATACATAGGAGAATGCCAAGTATTATCAGGAAGTGGGAAATACATTTTGGATAAATCAAAACAAACTCTTAAGTCTAGCTCAAGCACGAGAAATGACTTGTGGTCTCTTACAAAAGAGAAATCGTACAACCGCTAAAAACGGTCACCACTCAATTTTTGTGTATATTTTGTGAAAAAGGACGTTGCATTCATATCTTCATCAGAAGTTTTTGTGTCATTTCCTTCAGTGGATCTTGGTGCAGCGCCATCACAGATTATGGGAAGGCAGACAGCTTTTTGGATGATTTGACAGTGTGAAACAGTCCAGTCAGCCATGATCAACCAGATCCTGGCCTCTTGAAACTTTGCAACGACAACATCACCTGCTGCATATTTACAGTTCATATCAGATCACTGACTGTCACCTCCATTTGAACCAGGCGGCCTCTTTGCTTCGAGTCTTCCTGGTCTGTTCTGGATCTGAACCCACCTCCTAACGGCAGAAAGAAGTTAATTTGCCTGGAAGGTTAACAGGAGTCACGCTCTCAGAGGTCATTCAATAATCGCCCCGGGGCACAAGCTCCCACGCCCCCCAGGTGCATTCTGGGATGCATTTTTCCGATAAATCGTTTACAGTGGCTGCACAGTCCCTCAGGGACCCTAGATAAAGTTTGCCAATCAAAGTTTTTTTGCGCCACAGCCACCTATCCTTTTAACACACTCGCTGTGGTTCCCATACACACACTTTAGGCATCTTTAATTGTAACTTTAGGAAGAAGATGTCACAGCGGTACGAAGCAGTGCTGAAGTTTGAAGGCAGGAACATTGAAGTGGGGGGAGGAAGGTAGAAAACGTGTGTGCGTGTATCTGTGTGTGTGCACGAGGAAAGGGGGCGGGGGGGTCTTCCAAAAATAGCTTACACTCCTCTGATCGCCTGCCAAGGTTTCTGATGAAGGAAGTCACTGCACGTCTTTTCTCTATGATAATTCCCCCAACATACGCACGCACGTGTGTGTATTCTTCTATTTCTGTGCTTCTTTGCACACACACACACTCTCCAACCCGTTTGTTCGTTGCTTGTGCTCCCTTTCTGTATTGACTTGTTTCATGCAGCCCCGCTACATGACAGAAGGAGCGAGTCGGAAAGGCGGCGTGGAAGAAAGACTTGGCCATGCTCCAAGTTCTCCCTTTTTTTCCCCCCTCTGGAGGCAGGCCTCCCTAGCACCACCCCCACACCCACCCCCCAGCCTGCACCATGTTATCTCATCTGGGCACACGTTGGCCGCTACTGGGCCTGCACCGATACACGGTGTAGGGAAGCCGACCACGAAATGTGCTGCACCAAAGGGAAAATAGTCGTTTCCCCCCTAAATCCCCCACCACTGGTATGAAGTAAAACATTTCAGATGGGTAAAGGACATAATGATGTAACTCAGTGTGCACAGAGTGTGTAAAAAAATGAGAAAGATCCCAAAAAACCACATAAAAAAATATATAATTTAACTGAAAATCAGCTCTGTTAATCTGAAAAATAAGTGTCACACGTTCAAAATTTGAATCAGGCATCATACAGGCAGCATATCACCTTTCATCAACAATAGTATTCTCTTTTTGGTTTTGATATCCGTTCACACTTTCATTGTAATTCACACACATTGATGGATTAATTTCCCAAAATGCTCACAACTGATTTTGATCATAGCGATAATCCAACCTATGACCAAGGATAATACGTAGGCAGAGAAAACACACCTGAGAACGCAGGTGTTAGATTCCAACAGGAGAAAATATCTGAGTGCAGACTTACTTTTGATGGAGAGCCAAGTACATTTGAAAGCAAGCGAGGTTTTTCATTGGAGAGATTTGTGCGAGTTCAGTAGCTGCGTTTCCATTACAAATACACGCAAAACTTTGTCAATATTCCGTCCCTGACAAAAAAAAAAAAAAACACAAATTCGCAACTACGGAGTTTCTATTAAATATGAAACACAAAGAGTGTTTCCATTGCAGTTTTGTGAAATACATTAATTTTGATGCAGCCAAAAAACCTATCAAAAACTTTTTATCAAAAATTATGAGGGTTTTTTTTTTTTTAGCAACTAGCATGTTTCCATTAAGCAAATTTATTTTCATAATTGCAATTTGTGCAATTTTATGGTCAGTCGAAGCACTTGCAACACATCTCAGAATGAAAATGATGAATCCTGCGTTAGAAGATAATTTCGCGTATACAGGATTTAAAAATCTATTTATGTTACATTTTTCTACAGATATTCAATACAAAACTTATGTTGTGTTTTTTGTAAGCTGACACACATGCCCACTTTGTGGATAAACACTATCGCTTTATAGTAATCTCTAAATTAAAATAACAGTGGAGTCGTTTTATAAGTTTCCCTCTTCTGCCTTTGTTTGACCTTCCTTTGTTTCCATAAGTCAAACATGTTCTGAAGATGTAATTAACAGGGGAACAAAAGATTAAAATGTCGAAGGCGGTTTTATAAGGGAATATCCTTATCCCAGCACTATAGCTATGTTCATAAAGCTCTTCTTTTCAGTATTTTCTTTTTGTCTATGTCAGTAGTGTTGTTATCCACCTGCTGCTAAGACACTGGTATAACAAACCAAGATCACAAGTAGACTTTCTTCCTCAAGGAAGAACAGAAATATCAGCTTAAGAGGAGCAAAGGTTAGGCCTAAAACTAACATAAACTGTAGATGATAGTTTTCCTGGAGAGTGTTATTGCCTGTACAGACCATGAATATTTTGAATGTTTTTCTCTTTGTCTTTTCCCAAAATAGTTCCCGTTTTTGTATCAACCTATTTTTGCCAACAAATCACCCTTTCAAGCCGACCACTTCCTGCGTTTTGACGCATTAACCGTCATGGATGAATGGTTGAGTAAAGCGCCACTTTGACACATATCTGCTAATTTGGCTACATGACCCACTCGCTTGGACACTAACAGATGTAACAATGGCAGGTGAACTTTGACCCCTTCAATATAAGGATTCCTGATTCAAGGTGACATGCGCATCTCATGGTAAAATTGGAAGTCTCTTGCAACTTTTCAAGATCTCAGTATCAGCTCTTGATTTTTTTGTTCTGCCAGTTTTCAGTTCAGTTTTTTTTTTTTTTTTTTTTTGTTTCAGATTTTTTTGCAATAACAGAGATTATCAGTCTTGGTTGCTGTATTTATTCTAGTGGTTTCCCTTTCAGTGAAGCTGTAACTAGTGGAACCTTAGAGCAGATTTAAGATTTTTTTTTCTCATTGTAAACTTTAAACTTTAGTAGAACATTGAATTTAATTTGCTCCATAATTATTTGAAATGAACCAAATAAGATATTTTTGTCCTGTTTGCACAATTTGACTGTTTCTTGAGTTGAACATTTTGCTGACAATGTGATTGCCGTCTCTTCTTTGAGGCTTACTAGTAGTTTTTTTTCTCTTAGCTGGCCAAATTAATTGGTGTAGACAGGTGTGAGAGGCAGCTAACGAGACCTTAATGCCACGAAGATCTATTGTTTCTGCTCAAAGTTTAGTTAGAGCTGCAGTCGACGCCCAGGCCCAGCCCTTTTGCACACAGTCACACACAAACAGCACCCTCAAACACAAACAAGCCGATGTATTAGCCACATTAGCCATCTCTTTAGGGGATTTGGAGGATTGCTAATTGCCAGCTTGTCATTTTAATTGCCCTTACCACCACCCACCAGCCCCCATCTGACTCATACACACATGAATACACACAACTTCTTTAACAAGACATCCAGCAGCCTGCTGCACCGACAGTAAACCTGTGTAGCCAACGCTACGCTCACTAATCACAGCCTTCTGTTTAGTAAGTATTTTATCATTATATCAGAAAGCGTTGTTGCCAAATGTCTAATAAACAATACTGTGCATTAAACTTTTCTCCATATTTGTACCTTCTAAGGCGTCAAACATCCAGGTAATCCTTTAAAGTTGTCTTAATCAACAGTTCTTCAGGCTTTCTGCTTGGTCTCTTTGGCAATTTTCAGAGGAAAGTTTTTTTTAAGCTGCTTAACACTGACCTGCGAATCATTCAAGGCATAAATTGGCACCTAGGTCACAGTTTGTTCTAATTTCCTTTGATTCATCTTTTGAACATATCAATTTTGAACAGTGTCTAGCAGACAAAATGGTATTTCAGCTCAAAAAAATGTTAATCCTGTAGATCATCAGCTGTGGATGATACAATGTAAAGCTACAACTTTCAAAGAGGGCCGCCACTTAAAACCTTTTGTTTTTTTTTGTATTTTTTAACAGGTTGTTTTAAATAATTTATGTACTATTTTTTTCTCAGTTAATCTAGAGGTTGTTTTACCTCAGAAGAAAGCAATTTTCTTTAAAAATCTTTGTAATAAACATGTTTTGATTCTGCATAAATCAAACTAAATTATAGTTATATGAAGTGGAACCCATATCGTGATGAAATTGATCAAATGAAGCCCTTCCAAACTAGAAATTATAAAAACAAACTATCTATTACACCCTTTACTTAGAATGTCATAATGTAGATTAATAGTTTGTCATTATTAATGTTTTTATTATTATATTTTTATTTAACCAGGCAAAAACAGATTGACAACAAACTTCTTACTTGGCTAGGCCTTTTGAGGGAAAAGGAGGTGTGTGTATTGTTCATGAGTTTTTGGTTTAAATCTAGTTTAGATACTAATATCATCTTAACAAACACATTAAAATGATATAAAGGTGTGTCTCAATGTTAAAAAGGAAAACACGTAGCAGTTAGTTACCTCAGAGGGCGTTAAAGGACTTTAACAATTTAAATCAGCTTATGGTTTCTGGTTTGATGAAAGCATTCCCTCTGCTCTTCTATAACCCAGCATTAACTATACACTGTTGTGATTCACTCACAGAGGAACATTATTTACTACCTGTTGGATTCAACACCTTCCTGTAACGTGGCTTTTAAATATCACAAATTATACACACTTTTGACCTTCTCCTGGACAGAATGAGACACCTCTGCCACTGGCAACAATACAAAACATTGTCATTCGGTAGAGTCCCGATCTGCTCATATGAACAATCACATACAACAAAAGCATAAACAATCAACTTTTAGAGCTCCTCTGATGAAATCTGACAGTCAGGATATCAAAAGAAAGACAATGTCCAATGCCACTGCAGGTTGTCCACGATGGCACTACATGTGTAGATGTAGATAAACAGGTTTTCTTCTTATTTCTCAGCATTACTAGGGAAAAGTTTCAACACTGCCACAGTATTTGTATTTGTAGCACATGTACCCAGCCAGCATGCCTAGGTGGGCCCCATGTGGGGACAAGGAGGGCAGACTATATGGGTCCCACCTAGGCATGCTGGCTGGGTATTAGCATCCGTAAGGGAAACAAATGGGCGGAGCC